TAGATACCTAAAAAGTGTACTTAAGTACAGTAACAAAGTATTTGTATTTCGTTACTTGACACCTCTGCTTTGTCATGTGAAGCTTTAAAGGTCTATCCATCAATTAGTTTTTGCATCTAGCAATTGACTTTATCCATCCCATCTTTTTTGGATTATCAAAGTGTAACAATCTGAGTTATCTTCGGCACAAAGTGTCACAACACTGTTATACCACTAGATGGTGCTAGTTGTTTTTTTTTTTTTTTGCTTGGTTTCTCAAAGAAGCAATGAACAAAAAAAAATAGCCTTCAGAATCAACATAGCATTTATTTACCTTCTGCTTTTGTACTGACTCTTAAATAACCTTTTCACAAAAAGGTCTACAAGGTTTTTAAATTTTGTTTAATCTCTCCTTTAAAATAAGCCCTCCCATTCTGACAGGTATTTATTTTTTATTGTTTAGTTCTCTTCCCAACCAGAGTGGTGCCTCAGACCCCCCAGTGGACTGAACCATGGATGGATGAGGTAGGTCATAACTGGCAACACCAAGGAGAGAAAACTCAGAAAACTAACTTTCTAGACCTTTATCACCAGAGTCCAACGACTGAAAGTGGAAACGAGTCGAGCGCTTCTGTTGACATGAAGTCTAAGGCCACACAGACTAAAGCTGCAGGTGTGGGGTTTTTTTTTTTTTTTTAGATTTTTTGTCTACCTGTTTTTATGTTTTTTTTTTTATTTTTTATGGTGTAAAAAGTTTCTAATGGAATTATTTTTTTCTAGTTGGGAAACAAACAGCCAAACCACTACCCATCAAAGGGCAGTTTTTTAACACAGACCTTAACCCTCGTCAGAGGGAGGCAGTCAAGAGGATCCTAGAAGGAGAGTGTCGCCCTGTTCCCTATGTGCTGTTTGGACCTCCAGGAACCGGAAAGACCATTACAATCATTGAAGCCATACTGCAGGTGAATTCAAATATGTTCCAGATTGCAATCCTTATGTTCTTAGATTATTTTTAGCCGAGTTCTCTCTAAATTATTTCATTTGACCTGTATGATCCTATGAAGCCTTTCAACCACCAGGTCTATCACTTTCTGCCCAGCAGTCGGGTGCTGGTGTGCACTCCGTCCAACAGTGCCGCTGACCTCATCTGCATACGCCTTCATTACAGTGGCTTTCTGCATGCTGCCAGCTTGGCCCGTGTCAACGCCTCCTGTAGGGAGAAAGAGGTTAGCTGCAACACTTTTCATAATTCATTTGGGTGGAGTGAACTCTGAGCACCGCTTCAGCTTTACATCCACACCTCATTTTGTCAGGTTCCAACTACAAACCTCAGCCTATATGGTGAAATTTAATGGGATCAGTGCCAGAGCATGTGAGTGGAGCGTGAGCGAGCCGTGGACTGAAGCATAAGAAATATGGTGGAGCGCAGAGCATTTTTCAATTCTAAGGCCGAAGTGAGGATTTCGCTCCACTCCAGTTCGCTTTGACATTATTTAAATTCATGTTTGACTTAAAGCCTTGGCCAATGCCCATGCTGTAGTCTGTTCCTATAATTTGTTATAGTCTATGTTTCAACTTACCACGGAATCGCCGAGACGAGGATTTCATATTGTGATTAAAAAGGGGATAAAATATCATAAAACATACACTAACTATACTTTACAATACAGAGTGGGTTTACATAAATTGATCATTGTCGTAAGACCATGTAAAAATGGATCGCACACATGCATTATGTTATCTCATTTGCAAATAAATTAATGAGTAAATGGGAAACGCGAGGCAACTTGAATGGAGCAAGGTGTTACGTTCACAGCTAGGAAA